AAATCTACACAAAAAAACGAGACAGAAACTGTGATAGGTGTTAATAATGTTTTGTTGCCATGTGACCGTTGTTCAAAACTAAAACATAATTAATTCAATGCATTTAGCAATCTTATTTATATACAACTGAGTGTGCATAGACGCAAAATCACTCAAATGACCTATAAATGAAAGAGAGCAAGTTTTAAATACCTATAGCTGCAGTTAAGGCGGCGTTAAAAGAAAAATATTTCCTTATAAGAAAGCAAAAGAAGACGAATATGAATTTAATAAATGAAGAAACAGCAGAACATGATAAACTACGATGAGAGTTGTTTAAAGCAGGCAGCTGAATCAACTGGCAATGTTAGAGTTGTCCGAACGATCGTCACAATATATAGTTTCATGCAATTCAAATTAAAGGACTTATCTTCCATTAATGCATATCTGCCTCCCTGAGTTAATAGCTTCTCATGAAATGAAGTTTTCATTTCACGTACTCATAAAGATAATTAAAATGTTTTTGTTGACAGCGTTCACAAAATTTTCATGAGATTTTACACGGTGAAATGTGCTGACTATTTTCCCCCAAACATATCAAAAGGGCTGCCCAACCTTCCCAAATTTAATTGGTCTTTCTGATGCGTATGATAACGTTAAGTGAACTTTCTTGCCAGCACAATATCTGTTTTCTATGGTGCAGTACTCTATATACTTTAGTATTGTAAGAGTATCTTTTTTCCACTATCACTGTTTCTGGCGCACGATTTTCTATTTAAGGGTTTAAATCAATAAAGAAATTTATAACATAAGTATTCTGTATTACAACGAAAAATTCTTATTGCATTTATGAATCATTTCCGTGAATGTAATTGAAAAGTGGCAATGTTCAATGAGCATGATCTTTAGCATAACAACAATGACAAAAGTATCCAATTAAATAAAAGTAAAAATTGCCCTCCAAAAAATTTCTTCACAATGAAAGATACGCTACAAATTTTACTAAGAGAGTCAATTAGAGAAATCAGATTTCTTCGGTAATTATGGCTGAGAGAACATATTGATATGTGTCTGTTATTTATTTGTGATATTGTTTGGTTGGTAAAATGAATGAAGCTGATGGTTCTTGGCAATTGCGTATTTTTCTATTGAGATAAAACTAAAGGGTTCAGTCCTTGCCCTTTGGAATTGAAACCTATCTGTTTTTTCTGCATTTTTGCTGTTTATAATTTCCTTTTTCTTTCATGCAAATCAAATACCTTAAATGCTTTCACACATGAATTTTTAAGCATTCTTTTATTAAGTTTGCTTAGCTTCATTAAAGCTACTGGTTGCTGTTTTTCTTTTAAGAAATTATTTATTTTTTCTAAAATGACTATCACTTAAACAACTATAGTCTATAAGTCTTCTGTCTCACGTAAGCCTACTTTTACTGTTCTTTTTAAAGAGAAATGGCAATACATATTTTTTATAATCATTACAGTATATTACCCAAAAACATGAATCAAAACAGCAAAATTCGTAATTACTGTCTTTTGTGTGGGAAGATTCGTCTCTTTTTGAATAAAATCATGACTTGTTCGTCGCCATCTTGTAAAGATTTTTGTTATTTTTATTTCTTCATGTTTTAGCATAATGACCTCACAACAGGGTTAGGGCTTCGCTGCAAATACAAGCCTTGTGTAAACATATAAACATATAGCCATATATTGTCCGGTTTATGGCGGCAGTAGCTGCACTGAAAAATCCTTTTATCCAAGATTTACAGTCTATATCTAAACAATACAATATTATCAGTCTTATTTTGGTATTAATACACCGTTTTATAGTCTTTATATTTATAAAATTTTAATTCGCAAATACAATTTGAGAGGATGAAGAAAATATGGTGGAAGACAAAGCATTGTATACCTCAAGTTCATGGAATAATGACTGCTGGATTATCGGCTCAGTTGCCAAACAGCACATGACCTATAATAAGAGCAATTTGATTGAAAATTTTCAATTTTCAAATCCATCAATTGTTAATCTTGGAGATAATAGAAGTATTCTTGCATATGGTAAAGGGGTTTGCCTTATAATAGCTGATGCAAATGAAAGACCTCAGATGATAAGTTTGCGAGATGTGCTATATGTACCAGGTCTTGGTAGGAATTTTCTTTCTGTAAGAGCCACGATAAAGCTTGTAGCATGTGTTACTTTCAGAGATGATCAATGATCATTTGTAACTAGACCTCAATGATGACATCGAAGTCATGGTTCACAGTTTAGTCACCAATATCCCGGCAACATCAGAGAAGATAGCTGAACTCAAAGCTGCTACCAAAGAAGATGAAACCCTTCAAACTCTTAAAGAGACAATCAAGCAAGGTTGGCCAAAACACCGACAGTCAGTACCAACATGCATCACACCGTACTGGAATGTATGATATGAACTGAGTGAAGCCGAAGGACTCCTATTTAAAGACAACAGACTCATCATCCCATTATCCATGAGGAAAGATATGCTACAATTAATCCATGAAAGCCATCAAGGCATAGAAAAGTGCAAGAATAGAGCTAGATCAGTGATATACTGGCCAGGTATGAATAATGACATTATTACTGTTGTATCTAACTGTACCGTTTGTGCCACCTTTAGAAGCCAGAACCAAAAGGAACCCATGATACCACATGAGATACCTGAGCTCCCCTGGCAGAAAGTAGCATCTGATCTATGCGAATACCAAGGTAAAACCTACCTTGTGATTGTAGATTATTTCTCAAAGTACATCGAAGTCAGTATGTTACCAAATAAAACTGCAAAAACTGTCATCACACACACAAAGTCAATTTTTGCACGTCATGGTATACCACAAGAACTCATATCAGACAACATGCCATTCAACAGCAGAGAATTTAGAGGGTTTGCAGAAAACTGGGGATTCAAAGTCACCACATCTAGTCCCACATACCTACAATCCAATGGGCTTAGTGAAAAAGCTGTGCAGACTGTCAAGAGGATTCTAAAAAACCTCAGACCTCTATATTGGTCTCCTTGAGTACAGGACAACCCTGTCACCGGTATGTCATATACACCATCACAACTACTAATGAGTAGAGCAACCTGGTCCAAACTACCTGTATCAAAAGAATTGCTACAACCCAAGCTAGCGACAGATGTTGCAAAAGAATTGAAACGATGCCAACAGACACAAAAACACTATTATGACCAGAACTCCAGACCATTGTCGCCACTCACGGAGAATGAAGGTATAAGGCTACGTCAGAACAACACTTGGGTCCCAGCCCAAGTACTATATCCCGCAACAACACCTCGCTCTTACAGAGTTGCAACACTGAATGGCCAAAAGTATCGACGCAACAGACGACATCTCTTGAAGACAGAGGCAACAGCCGATTTCACCACAACAGCCCCACCGAGCACAGATGATGATAACCAGGCTGAAGCAGAAACCACTGTTGACGAACCTGGAGCATCTTCACCCTTTCCTACACTTAGAAGGTCTACAAGAACCAGAACAATACCTACTAAATACAATGACTATGTAATGTCTTGATTACAAATATTAACACTTTATAGACTGTTAAAAAAAATCTCTTATCTTCCTGGTATTCCATTGAGAGCCTAGTTATGTTTATAATTTTGTCCTTTTGAAAGAAGGGGGATGTAATGATAGTTGCCCTTATGGGACACCCCGAAGCTTGTAGGAGTTGGTTGTTAGTTCAATATACAAGTTTACGCGACAACTCTCGTGCTTTTTGTAATACTTTACTACAAATGTGAAATCTTTAGATGTACAAAGTTGTTGGCAAGTGTTATAATGCTGAAAAAGCTGTATGTTTTGAAAATCATTGAAGGTGATTATGTGAATGTTGCAATTGATGATAAATTAATGTTATGGCATTATCGTTTTGATTATCTTGGAATGGACAATGTTTCAAAATTGCTGAATAATAGTATGATTATTGGCATGGATACTACGCATAAGGAAGAATCTTCGTGTGAGGGATGCATTATAGTTAAGTATCATAAATCCAAGTATCTCAAAAAGGAACCAAAACGTGCAACTAAACCGTTTGAATTTGTGCACTGTGATGTTTGTGGACCGATGTCAACAAATTCACTTGGTGGTTCAAAGTATTTTGTTCTTTTTATTGATGATTTTTCAAGGTACACTTATGCCTATTATATTAAGAGCAAACATGAAGTGTTGGATAAGTTTAAATTAATTAATGCAATGGTTTTAAACGTCGCTGGTTGTTCAGTCAAAGTTTTACGGATAGAAAATTTTGGGGAATATTGTTCCAAAGAATTTAAATAATCTTAAGCAGAAAGGAATTACACATCAAATTACTGTGCCATATAATTCCGCACAAAATGGTGTATCGGAACGAATGAATCGTACACTTGTAGAATCAGCCAGATCAATGTTATCACAAAATAATATGCCGCTAAATTTTTGGGCAGAAGAAGTGAATACAGCTGTCTATCTGAGAAGTCGAAATCCGACATTATCACTTAATGGAGTTACACCATTTGAAGGCTTGTTCAATGAAAAACTAGATGTTTCTAATCTAAGGGTATTTGGATGCCTAATTTATGCTCGTGCATGCCTAATTTATATTCTTCCTCCTCCTAAAGGGAAGAATATAGTAGGATGTCGTTAGGTATTCAAAGTAAAGCGAAAGGAGAATGGATCTGTGGAAAGATTCAAAGCAAGATTAGTGGCTCGAGGTTACTCTCGGGACCGCTAGCTACGACACTGGCGACAGACACATATCAAAGCGTTTGGTTGGGGAAGGGAGGGGCACTGCCCCCTGCTCCCTTTAGTTACGCCACTGTTTGTAATTGCTTTGATTGATAAGATCAAAAGGATATAATTAGGTGGCAATCACGAAGGAATTGTTATCACAGTGAGTCCTGAAAACTCGCATTTCAAAAATGTGACTTGCCGGAAACCACATTTTTCGTAAAACACAGAATAAGTAGCTTGTAGTGATAAGGGTATCATTCTTCGTGACGCACGCGCGGGAGACCATCGCAATGGTTTACAGACCTAGTTGTGGTCACCGTCGACGCCACGCACACGATATTTGTAGATCGAGCAACAATATCAGTAAGAATGTTTTAGTGATTTTGCTTTACACTGTCATTTTGGATGAAAACGGTTTGTGCTATTCATTGTTGGTCGCAACAGTGACGGATTTCAGACACCAGAGACAAAGGGGATAAAGGATAGGTTAGTAGAATCGTTTATTTTGCTTTAGATTTTAGTATCGTGCCACCTAAAGGACTTTCAATGAATGAAATCATTCAGTGTTTACGCATGTTAACAGATGAGCGATCATATCAAATAAAATAAACACCAAAATACAGAAATAAAGCAATAAACCACGCAAGCACCTCATGTAATATCAAGAAATTTTACCCAAATTAAGACAGGAACCATTTCCTGTTAAAACAATACCTAATGAATTAAATGTAAACATTTCGTTTGGGGCAATTATGTAATTATGTCCTCCTATATCATTTTAGAAAATTGTTTTGGTGAAACATCAAAACGTTAGACTTAATATGTAACCAGCAAATAGTGTAATTCTTGCGAATAAGTTGTCTTTTATAAATTATTCATGTTGTATTATATGACAGCGTAGATACGCGTGAAAGGTCAAATTCTTATATTAAAGCAAAACTCTCGATAGAATACCACTTCATCATCCCGCTTTTGTCCAAATTTCACATCACGAAAACAGTGGATCAAAATGATGAGTCTTTGATTGCGAATATTTTGAATGTATCAATTTCATCGTGAAGAACATGGCAAAAGGCATTTGAAATAATAGAACATCTGCTTTTCAAAGATGTCTTTGTTGTATTGTTCGACTAATTAAAACGACTTCATTCTGTTGCTTTTGTTGAAAGCTGACATGTTGTGGTTAAGGTAATTATTTGAGAAGAAACTATTTTGGAAAAACTCGCTGAGCTTTGTCTGTGGTATAAGTATGAATTTTCATTTGAAGTTGGCGTATTTGTTTGAATTTCAGATGAAAAGAAAACGTCTCTACAATGACCAAATGAAACTCCGTCGTTGAATTTACCTTAGTCACTGTTGGGAGCACCCTTGCTTTTAAAAGCTCGGTTGATTTTACAATTGCACTCAAAATATTGAACGAAATGACTTTATTTATTGTTTAGTTACTTGTCGCAGCAAGCATTCAGACTAGCTCTGCAGAGTGAGACTAAAATTGCCTTGATATCGAATTTTTCCTTTGCAAAAATTTCTTTTTTTCATGCAAGTTTCTGTAAAATAATCTATACTGACATAAAAAGAGCAATTAACTCGAGCAGATTCTAGTGAAAAACTGGACAACTACACATTGTCCCATGTTCAATTTTAAATACCCACTTCAGATTGCACTTCACCAAATATAAGAAAAGTCCGCGAAAATGCTTTCACATATAATATTTTGTCAGGTACTGACGATTTACTTGCTCTATTTCTGCTTACGATGACAAATATAAAAATTGAATTAAAATCAAAAGTTCTACAAAGACGAAACAATTGGATTGGTTGATATTACAGCGAAGTAATTTGATTGGTTTGTTTGTTGTGAACAGTTATTGCAGAATTCATTACAAGCAACAGTTTTTTTGTGTATTATGATCTAAGATTTATCATCTTTCACGAACACGCTCATTTCTAAATACCTTCTAGAAAATGAGTAGGCTAACTTCTGTACAGGGCGGGGGTAGGAAGTATTGATCAGTTTAAACTCTATAGTATTTTATGAGAAAGACATGATGAAACGCTTTCACAATTTTGAGCAGAAACTGTCAGTTCAGAAAACTTTAACATGAAATATTTAATGAGATGTTTTCGTTTTACGCAATGCTACAAGCAGAATGTCATATACAGTTATGTTTAATCTGTCTTGATCGATGCGTTACCCTAAAGTCCAACGTCCGTATTCTAGGTCTCTCACACTGGAATTTACTAAGTGGGGCTTCGAAATCACCCAGTTTTCGAAGACAGTATCTTCACTCCAATGATTGCTTGATTTGAAATATTTTAGGAAAAATGAGTAGAAGTGAGTATAACTCCTGCAGCATAAGGATTCTGGACGTATCAGGAGTGTCGTTTACTACCAAAAACTAACAATAGCACTTGCACGTAACGTTTGGTTTTATTGACAGTAGATGTCAACTAGATATCTACAGAAAATATACTTAGAATTAGATAGGAAATGAACAAACAAAACACAGAATATGAGTAGAGTACCATTACCGATTGTTCCCGCTTGTATCCAGATTGCAATAATTGATTAATTTGTATAGCTTCGAAAAAGAGCTAGAAAGTATTAACAGATTACGCGTTCGTAGGTTTACATTAACAATAACAATATTGTTTCGACTCTTGGGGACTGGCACTAGTGTCAGTTACAGTGAGTGTGAGTAAAATTTTAGAATGGCATAAGTAAAGAGATCATTATGTATGTCAATGATGATTGTAAACACTGAGATGATTATACGTAGTAACGTCAGTGAAAAATGTGAGAACCGAGATGATCAAAAATAACTATATAAAACTGGGCATATCATAGACTTTTGACATTGTATGAATATATTTCTATTTAGAGTATAACAAAGATGGAAAAGTGTCTTGAATATCTACCACTTAAGAGCTTTCACTCGCACGGACGTTTGATTCTAATTGTCTTTGGTGTATTTGGCACAATAGTGCTTTGTATTTCAATTGGTATAAATGTTGACAGCAATAGCTCCTTTTATTGCTATAACGAGGACATATCAAAGAAGGAACAAATCTCTCTTCTAAGAAAATCCGAATCCGATTGTTGGAGGCAATACAAAGAGAGGCTAACTTTCAACTACCCAATATTTCTTATCGTTACTTTGAATTTCGCTATTGTTTTACTTGTAAGTCTCATTTATGGATATTTGGTAAAGCATAGAGTTGAAAAGTACGGCCAGTTTAATCTAACAAGAAATAGAAATCATGTTAACGAAGCTCTTCTTCCAAGAAGTGGTCAATACAATCTTCGTTTGAGAAAAATCGGATTTCGTTTTTCCACGTTTTTCATTTACGTCGTTTATCTAGTTATTCGTCTAGTAATATTATCTGTCTTTGTGGTAGTACTATTCCAAATCCATTTTCCATTCGAATACTTCTGCTCATGGCATCCTAAAGGAAAAGAATCGTCTTCGTCGAATTACAATGTTTCTAAGTCATACAACGGCACATTACTTGATTGTAAAAATCCTAATGGTGGTAAAAGTGAAGCCTTGATGCAGGTTGTTGCCTGTGTGAATGTAAGTGTGACAATACTGACCATTTTGGAGCTTTTTTATCTTCTCTACGTTGCCTTCAACGATAGCTTTTTTCGAACTGAGCAAGAATTTTGTACAGTGTACTTGCTTCGGGAACGTAAAAGAATCCGAAAGCTATTAAAAAATATTAAAACCTCACCAAGCTTCGACAACGTGCTCCAAGTTAAAGACGATTTTGGTGAAGATGTGGAATCGTTGCGAAACTTAGATGAAATTTACGTCAACGTTGTGATGCAGACAGAAAGAGAGCGAAAGGATGCCTATCCAAACACGTTCAATAGGCATGAAATTTTTAGGTTTAGTCTGAAAATTTCTTCTTCATTCAAACAATTGAAAGGAATAATAGACATTTTTATGCCAAATGATGGTGGAAAAAGACGATCTTATCTACGATCTATATTAATTATCGGAAGACCAGGAATTGGTAAGACTATGTTGACAAAAAAACTCGTGTATGAATGGAGAAACAATTCTAAAGAATTTTGGAACGATAAATTAGTCCTTTGCATTCAAATGCGTGCATTTAGCAACGAAAAGGTCACTCTTAAAGAAATGTTGAGTTGCTGTATTGGTGTGGCAGTTAAGCAAGTGGAAGAGATTTACAATTTTACGTTGCTTTATCCAAAGAAAACCGTGCTTATTTTTGATGGTCTTGATGAGCTTACTGTTGATGGTTGTCCAGGAAACAATGTACAATAACTGATTTGGACGAGAAAATTCCAGCGTTTTCTATTTTGCGTATGTTCATCGATGGTAGGTTGCTGTATGGTGTCACCGTGTTAATCACATCGCGTCCTACGGCAGAACGTGCATTTAATGACCTAGAATTTGAAAAAACCGTGGAGATTCTGGGGTTTTTTGAGAGCCAGATTGAGAATTATGTCTTGAAATTTTGTGGTGAAGATACTTATTTAAAAAATTTGATTTGGAATATTATCGAGACATCTCCTGAACTGTTAAGCTTGTGTTATATCCCCGTTAACTGCAACATTGTGTTTTGACTTTGAAGGAAAGCGTGGAAAGTGATGCAGTTGATATTCCTAAAACTATAACTGAATTATACAAAAGAGCAATTAAAGTTTTACTATGGAGGCACCATCCACTGTGTAAATTAGGCTCAATTGGGCGTCCAAAGGGCTACCTTGTTCAAAAGTTACCGAAAGTATTTGGCAAAGACGTACAGGAAATGAAAAGCCTTGGAAGAAAGATAGTTGAGGAAGGAATATTAATTTTTGTGGAACCAAGTATTAGTGACTTTCATCATTTGGCCAATTGTGGCCTTCTACATCAAATACCGGACAAAAGGCGCAATCTTCTCTGTTTTTTACATTTGACTCTTCAAGAGTTTCTTGCCGCGTGGTGTATTGTTGACGATTGGCATTGCATCGCGAACTTTTTGGATGATCATGTGGAAGATTTTCAATGGCACTTGGTCATAGAATTTATTGTTGGTTTAGTCGGAGACCTAAAGAGGGAGAAAAAAGTCGAAAGTATCTGCCATATTGAAGAAAGGTAAATTTTATAGTGACAAACAATTACAATAATCACATTCATGTTTGTATATGAGGATCGTGCAGGTCAGTGCTAGTCCTGAGAGCATCAATACTAACAGCTCTTCTCAGCACTGCACTATCCTGAACGATGAACATCTAAACTCACGTGACGATACTCCCAGGCTCAAAGATTTACTTTCTTACAATAATAACGATAGTAATGATGATACAAGAGTGACAGAAACCATTACCAGATTAACAATATCTTTTGATATCTTGGGAAGTCAGGTGATTCAAATCACGTTTTCTATTCTTTGACAAAGAGGCATGCTTATTGTCTGCGTCAGCAAATATTATTCCTCCACAAAATCGATTTTTTATCAACCAAACATTTTATGCCACAAAAACAAAAAATGTAAAATGAAAATGATACTTATTTACACACCACAGACAATTGTTGTCCTTTTTACAAAAATTGAGGACGATTCGTGAAATGACCTTGATGCAATGAAAACAAGCTACAATTGCAGACTAAAGTTTGTATGATTTTTGATTGATCGATTTTTGAATCCTTTTTTTCTGTCTCATTTCTTTGTACGAGACACATATCCACATACCCTCAAATTGAATCTTGTGGTGGACTGAATGTACAACATATTTATCAAGACTTCATAAATTTGCTGCTTAAAGTAAAAAACAAGAAAACAGCATACTCATATGTATGTCTAGTATCTTGAGCTATGATATACATCATGCGTCACCAAATTCAGAACACAAGAATTTTATTTAGTTACCAGTTCATTGTTGTAGTTGTTACGTGCATTTATAACATTGTCTTAAATCATGAAATGATAGCTCATTCAACTATGATTGCATTTTTGCAGCTTGCAGTTGCAATAGATTTACTAACTTCTCACTATAAGCTATTTGCTGTCCTTCATAGATTTCAAAAGTGGATCATGCTTTTACAGTCTTATTCTGGAGATAAAAGGCTCGCTTTCCTTGGCATCCAGTGCTTGTACGAGTTGCGAGATGGAGATGTGATTAGATCAGCTTGCACAAAGTTGAAGCATGGCTCTCAAGAAATCTTTGTCAATAATATTACTTTTACACCTGTTTATTCTAATGCCTTGTTTCAATTTGCAACTGAATGCGCTCATATAACTAAACTCAATTTTCGCACCTGCCAATTGCTTGATAAGTATAGCTGTAATGGAATTGAAACGTTTTTGTCGAATGGGGCATCCTACAATTTGACCTCGCTGTCTTTTCATGGATGCAAGTTTAATGATAACTTTATGAGTCATCTAACAAAGGCTGTAAAAAGTAAAAATTGTAAACTGGCAGAATTGGACATTTGTCATAGCAATATAGCAGATCAGGGTGCAAAATATCTCAGTGAAGCTTTCAAAAGTGAAAATTGCTATCTTATTAAATTTATTATTCGCCATAACAATATAACAGATGAAGGTGCAAAATACCTTTGTGAAACCTTTGAAAGCAATATTTGTAAACTCAGTAAATTAGACATTGGTCAAAACAGTATAGCAGATGTTGGTTCCTTCCATATAAGTCAAGCATTGAAGAGCAAGAACTGTAACTTGACTGAATTAGATCTTCGTCAAGATAGTGTAACAGATGAAGGTGCTACGTTTTTAGGCTAAGCTTTAGAAAACGAACATAGTCGTCTGATGAAATTGGGCATTCGCCATAATAATATGACGTGTTTAGGTGTAAAAGACCTTACTAAAGCTTTAAAAAATGAGAATTGCAAACTCAGTGAGCTAGACATCAGTCATATTCAGTTAAAAGATAATGGTGCAAAATATGTCGCTGAAGCTTCAGAAAGTAAGAATTGTCAATTGAGAAAGTTAAATATTAGTTCCACTCAAATAACATTGAAAGGGGTGATATATCTTTGTGAGTCTTTGATAAATCAAAATTGTAAACTAATAGATTTAGACTTAAGCCGAATTAGATTTAAAGATCGGGAGCAAAGTATCTATGCGAAGCTTTAAAAAGCGATGGCTGCAAGTTTGCCAAAATGAACATAAACTTTAATGAAATAAAAGATCTAGGAGCAAAACATATTAGCGAAGCTTTAGAAAATGAAAATGTTAAACTTACGGAATTGGGTGTTAGTTGGAATGAGTTGACAGATGAAGGGACAAAATATCTAATCGAATCTGTTAAACATGAGATTTGTAAGCTAGCGAAATTGAACATTAGTGTTAATAAGCTAACTGAAAAAGGTGTGAAATGCCTCAATGAGGCTCTAAAAAGTGAGAACTGTAGACTTACTGAATTGGTGAATTTTAGCGGTTTAGCCATTAATACGTAAAACACTTCATAGAATATATAAAAACTAACAATGGAGATATTTGTGACAAATATGGCAGCTAAGTTGTGGTAATGGTAGAAAAGACTTTATTTACAAAAGTTCAAACAATTAAAGCTATGAAAAGTACGTGTATTCTGTAAATATTATTTTGTAAGTAGTTATGTTAGAATAGCATTTGTTTATAGAGGTGTAAAACACGTAAAAGAAGTTTTGAAGAAATTGCAAATAGAAAATTTTTCCTTAAATTTATAATGATTAAGAGTTATAAACCAAAAGTGTTAGACGCTTTATAAAATGCAGTCAAGTTTAAAGTTTTCGATAAAATTGTCACCAAAGCGCTTTGACCAATTTCAGAGAAACACAACAAAAATTTTCCTTCTAGACATGGGTATATCATTGATATTAAGACTACGTTTAAGTACTCTGGATCGGTCTAAAAACGACGCAAAAAATAACAGAAACGGGTTGCGTTTAGCTATATACCGCGTTGGAGAAGAGTTTGTTGAAAACGTCACTTTTGGTGGAGCATTACGACCACACTTTCTAAACGTGATCTATGGTGGCCTAGCGCTATCATCACAATTTTCCGTGTGTTAATGTTATTTTCAGTTGTATTTTCATTTCAAAAACAAGTTTTACATAAAACTTTACTTTAAAATGTTAATTTAAAATTAATTTCATGATATAAATACGAATTTTATTTATTTTCATTCTGAAAGCGTAAATGGAATTTAAAAGCACTTTGTTGTGCGTGGCCCAGCGCTATCATGTCATATTGCATAATTCTACACTTGCTAAGACGCCACGCCTCCTATCATGCATGCATTGTCGCGACAAAACAGGAAAATAACAAACATGAGATCTCTAAAATGAAACGCGTTAATAAGAAATTAAAAAGAAAGAAGACTGGGCCGAATTTGAAAGAGTTGGAAGGCCAAGAAGCTAGAAGGCCAAGAAAAAGTCTCGTGCAAGTGGTAATGCCAAAGTTCCCAGTGACGTATGTCGCCCACAGTTTCTGTTGGATTGAAGAAGTACGATCCGTTGGATACGAGAGGCTTGGTGCCTTTTGAAGATTACGATGAACTATCAACTTTTTGGACTCCTAAAATGATTTTTCTATAACCCTCTCTACGAGCTTTCAAGCTTTCAAGTAAACTACAACTTCCTGTGCACAATTTTCAATACACCATGCAAATTTTTAATTTTACAAATTTAGGCTCTTTCTGTGTCTGGAAATACTTTTTATGATGTTGATTACCCATTTTCATGCTGGTCCAAACAGCAGTTCAATGTTCTACGGGGCTCAATGATAGACGCAAAAACAGCGGCTTTTAGATTTATTTGGGGGATTGATATATACAAAAACAAACGATGCAATGGTATCGTTGATTTTTTTGTTTGCTTACAAATCATCTAAATTGTTTTGTATTTAAATCCATCTTTATCTTTTAGATTTTTACCATGCAAACTATCTTCACACACCTGTTTTTCTTAAATCATACACTCACTCAATTCGTTCCTTTTTTGCTCTGAACATTTTCCCGATAGATTCCTCTTATCGCCAGCTATCATAAACACTTCTGCATTCGTCCTCTTTCCCATCTAGCTGACTTTTTGAAACTTTTTTAAAATCATGCACATTGTAATGTCTTCTCCTTTCGATATTGACGTATCAAATACGCATAATAATAGGCTTCAACGCTTATGCTTCATGCTTTTAACAGTTCTTTATATCCAGCTACTAAAACTATTTTTGCCATTACTCTTGTTGATTTTATCTCGTAAACATAGCTTTCATTATCTGAATCAACGCACCTGAGTTACAAAGCTGTGTTATCTGTTCCATTTAATAACTCATTCCTTCAATCTTACATTCATCTTGCCAACATATGTTGCCTAAAATTATTTGTTTAATTATATGAGATGCAGCCTCTCTTCAGTCTTTGCTACTATTTTTTGGTTATCTATACATCTTATTTCCTTCAGCAACTATACTAGCTTTAACTTTAACACCTTAGCTAACACCATTTAAAACATCAAACTGTTCGAAATCAAAAGCTTAAGATTCACAGAATATTCCAGATATTAAGATATTTCATTCATGTTGTGAAACTGTTGGCGAATCATTTATCTGCGCTTTTCTTCTAAGTATATAATTATATTACATATAACTATTATATTTGATTTGGTAATGTAATGAAATCGTGAGTTTATTGCTCATATTTTGTCTTAGATTATTGTATTATAGTATATCATCTCAGTCAGGCGTATTCAGACGTGTATAATGAAATCAAATAACTTAAACATTCGATATTTCGTATTTTTTGCATAATATAACCATAAATTATTGTTTATTGTAAACTGATTTGAATCAGCAAGCTCGTAGTTTTGATAAGATAACCTAATTGATTTTGGATGGTTATATTTATTAAATAAACATCAAACTTAGCACGTAATATTTCGAAAGTTACCTTTGTATACTTTTCAATCATTAATTGACATGCAGCGAACATAGATTTAAAATGATGGAGGACATGTATAGCTCAATGTATCTCGTATGATCACATAGCTTATTCTTTTCAAAAAAGAATGAAAGAACCTTAATGTATTACTTTAGACATCATTCAATTCCTATCATGTCAATATAGAATGGTTAAAGTCTATAACTATATGTACATTAGCATGCTGTGATGTATTATTAATTCAGGGTGGGAAAGCTGTCATAAACATTCAGGCATAACATAAATGAAATATTTTCATATATCGCTTTAAGCTCGTGACATCCTTTGATTCTTGATAGCAACTCAACTTCTCGTGCTTTAATGTTCCCTATGAAATTCTTTTGTCAAAGAGCGCTATCGAGCGTTACTTGGAGAAGAAGTTTCATCTCCCTGTCTACATTTATTGCCAATTTATAGCTGCTTAATCTTCAGTCATCAAATGTTTTTATTGTTTGTCAATACTCTAGATATTTTCTTCATCAGAGATTTGTGTCAATACTGATCAGTTTAATAAGACGTGTTTTCGAACCTGTCTCTCAAAGATTTTAAAGTCAACGAAGATTTCGAATAATGAAACTTATAAAGATGTACCAAAAATATCGGCAATAGCATTTCAAAAGAAATAGCAACATTACCAGGAATTAAGAGTAAGTTATTTGCTGTCACGGTGATTCGGTTTCCTGATGATAATTTCCTGATACCCACCACTTTTCTTGCAATAACCGGACGTTCATTATGATTTGTTCTTGTTTCATTTTCGAATGTTAAAATTATTTTATGAGAACTACATAAGAAGTTATCCTGACACGACTTTTATGATGTAATTTTCAAGATTGACGTTCAGTTAAAAATATGTTATTAATGTATCGCCAAATATACATTCATGGAACAATTTTAGCCGTACTTAGCTTGAGATGTTGTGAAATAATGTTCTTCTAAATCTTGTTTCAAGGCCGATCTATTTGACAAGACCTGATTTTTTACATGATTTCAAAAACATTGGAAACTCAACTAAGACAATTAAATTATGACAAAGTATGTCTCTATATAAAAATGACGAAAATGACAACAAGTAACAAATTACCAGGAAAAAGAAAGCTACTCTTAACGACAGAGTGCTTTGGTTTTCATTTATTTTAATTAATTTGTGCTAAGCTTGATTATTATTATAATTGTTGGACAGTAATCATAACATTTTAAAATCTGTTTCAAAACTGTGAATAGTTTTGTGATGTACCCAAACAAAAATTATGCTGATACGAAATTTATTGGTTAACACACTTGGTGCTACCCACGCATTGCCTTAAATATAGGACTCGATTCCGTTTTACTTTAGTCTTCATCCTTTGATATAAAAGTGGGTAGTAAAGAAGTTTATTGGCCTGGCAAAATATAAAAGAAATTTGTTAGAATCTCTTCAAGAAAATTACGAAAATAATTTGAGCAGAGGTGAGTAAAATGCTGTCCTAACTATTCTTTAAAGTATAGGTATGCTGTTAAGAACAGCGAACAAATAAAATAAATTCATACATCATCTCTAAAAACCAACAAAATACAATAAAGGAACAAGTCAAGTAAATAATAACGATATTCGGGATATTCGGGAATGAAATTTTAGAAGGGTTTTATCATAGGTATAGTCTGACTACAAGTATTTTGTTCTAGGCAATTTCTAGCGAAATCGTCATTCTTCTGGAAGGAATTCACAAAAATATTTTGTCTGTAAAAGGAATATGAGTTGTGGTTAAGTCATTTCTTTCAGTTGAGGAGAATAATATGATATTTTGGTAAAGGGTAGCAGCTTCTAACATTGTTTTTGTTTTTCGATGACTTACACAGTCACTATTTGTAATTGGTTAAGTATATAAATCATTATTTTGCTCTATGAGTGTGATAAAAGCTTTGGATGATTGCCTCACAAAAATTCCAATCATTTTCTTTACAAAACTTTCCAATGAATTTATTATAATAGGGTATCATGCGGTTGATTATACAAACGTAATAGTTTAACGCAATCTTTTGTCTGAGAAAGAGAAAGCCTAGAAATTAAATCATGTGTTCATGTCATTTAGTTAAGTTGTGTAAAAAGATCATAATCAATATTTGTAAAGAATAGCAGCTTTTAGTATTGTCAACGTTTTTTTATTATTTAGCGAATTACAGGTTTATTCATAATCACTAAGAAGGCATAAATATATTTTTATATATGTCTGTTTTAAAAGCTGTGGAAATGGCTTCTTAAAAATTTGCCATCATTTTCTTGATAAAACTAACTAAATTTTTGTTATAATTGGGTATCATGCATTATGCAAACGTTTTTTTTATCCAGTCTTCATCCACAACAAGAAAAAGCTTAAAAATTAAATCATGAAAATATCATGCTATGGCTTGGCAACCAAATATAGGAATATATTACTATATATGGACAGAAATATAATCAGTATCAAATGTTAATATTGATTTTACTGTTGTCAAATTGTTTCGGAAAATCTAAAGAGTTTTTACTATTGTTTTTCTATAAAAAGAAACATATCGATGGTAATATAAACAAACAGAATAGATAAATACACAGTGCAAAATTGGTAAACAGAAAGGCAAAAGTTTTTTTAATTATTATGGGTTTTTTCTACTTATTCTAAATACAATCAGTTTATTTTCATAATCATGAAAGTATTACCATGACTACCGTAAATACCATAAATACCATAAATACGTGCTTATTAACATGTACATTCTTTCTCCGTGTCGACAACACTTCCTTATGTATCATTGCCACGAGAAGTCAAACAACATTTACAAGCTATAAATGTACGCAAACATTAGGAAATATAGAAACAAACAACTGTCCTGTATTGATATTTTATTGTTGTGTTGATTGGTGAAAAATAGTTTTACGAGGTATTTCGATGGTTTACTGTTTTTAAACATCATGTGAAGTTGTGAGCATTCTTGGCTTGTTTCAATTATTGATGTCTTCATGAAAAGATAATTTTCTCTTATTTTCCAGGAAAGATTTTTGTAAGATTAAGCATGGATGCAGACCTTAAGGAGACCAAAACTAGTGGCAACCTTTTTGATCCTACGGTAAGATTATTGATGGACGTACTCCTAGGTAAAGCCGTCCTTTATACGTTAGTAATTCATTAGAGAAAGTTTGCTATTATACTGCACTTGTGTGATGCTGTTTTTAGACTGTTTATAGCAAAAGCTTAAGTGAGGGAGTGTGAAATTTGCTCATGTTTAATCGAAGTCATGAATTTGGTATAATTACACTTATAACTTACTTATAATCAAAAATATGATTCCGGGGGAGATCTAGGGTAAGAAAATAGGCATGATACAAAACGAGTGCTAGACATGGGAAAGTGGAGACATGTTCCAACAGTATTTTTAAAACTTAGACCTTCGGAAACACCATTTCTTTTAGTTTGACTATAATCTCGTAAAAAAACGCTAAATTTTCCAAAATCATTCATTTAAAAATCATTTTAGTAACCCTTGTCCTAGTTACTATTAATATTGTCGTGTTTGGCAGAATTCTATTTTTAACTTTTGACAACGATTGATTACTCTTTTTATTCGTAATAGAAAGGGAGAAGAAAACGAATTTTGCTAAAAAAATAGAACACAGAAAATAAGAACAATTAATGCTTCAAGTTTAAAAATTATGCACAATTAGGGGTAGAGATGTATTTAAAAATAACAGGAATAACACATGCATCGTTAAATAATGAAGAAAACTATTAAGCCCTGATTAACCGTGCTTGAGGTCTTTAAGGAAAAATAAAGGGACCAAATTTTTTTTGTAAAGATCATTTTTTGCTCCAAGATGACAAAATTATATAGTTTGGTGTAATGTATCAGCTGAGCTTTATAAGTATTCATCACTTGCATCGGTGAGCTGATCTCCGAAAAAAATCGCCCAATTTTCTATAATTCACCACAAATTGTTAATTACGATGTTTGATTTTTAACTGTTTTTAATTTGCTATACATACCGGACAAGAAAAATTACAGTGCTTAAATTGACAAATAATTTAGTTTTCTAGTTGAAACCAATTTCAAAGTATATAGCCTATTAAATGGACAGTGTAAACAAAGTTATAACCAGTAAAAGAATATTATGACTAGTGCATTTCCATGCATCGGTTGCATCATGCAGTACATATATGCCAGTAAACACAAAAATTATGAATTCCTTTGGTGTTTACCCTCTTCTTGTCTTCTGCAGTTATATCTATTAAAGTTTTTGACTAAAACCATTTTTAGCCGCAAATGCGGGAAGCAAAAAATCTTCAAATCTTTAATATAAATGGAAAAGGCTTCCTGAAAATGGAACTAAACAGTGATGGGGGATTTACGGTGACGGCTACAGGGACAGTCAACGACCCTTATGGTAACTCTGTTTTAGCTACGGTTTATATGTTAAATTTTTAAAGTAACTTGCTTATTACGGTTTCTAGTGACAAATCAAATCACCAATGACAAATAAGTCAATTTTCTCTCCTGTTGCATTGATCAATTTTAATAAATTATAAAGATAAATTCATCGTTTTTCAGTTTTATGACTTCAAATTTTGTCGTTATGTTTTTTAAATACATATCAAAAGAAATTAAAAATGAGTTAATAACATCCTTAATACAATCATTTTAATATATTTATTTTTGGGTAGATGCAACATTCTTTCAGTATGAAAATGATATCGTTATGCATAATGAGCATTAAAAAACGTGTTTTTGTCGACAGTTAGCATTGAAATATCTAACTACTGCATCTTTATAAATATTCATCTAAATTCATTAAACTGTTGTATTTGTTTATAAAACGTTCTAAAGATGTGGAAGAGTGGTTAATGTTCTTTCCAAGATAAGGAAGCTTATTTGTTCACGATAAAATTTTGTTTTATAAACATTTTAATTTTGTATATATTTGTTGTTGACTTGCAGCAAAATGGACAATTCACTATTTGGCTTCTGTGAATGAGTCATGTCAGGAGACATTTATTGAGAATGAGAAATGTTCTGAAGACCAGGGCTCTCCGTGCGTTTTGCATACAAAGAAATTAGCCGAATCCGAGGATTTTATTCTGAATGGATCAGTAAGTAGTTAAGTTTATTTGTGTCAATCATTCATTGATTTTTTAATTTGAAATGCAAGGTAGCGTATAAGAAATAGAAATGGTCATTTTCAAATTCAAAAATTCCACTGACAAATTTTTTAGTAGTTAATTTCTGCAAAAAAATTTTACAAAAAAGCTTCTCTATAAGGAATTTTATAATAATAACTAATTAATGGATGACGAGCGGCTACAGTCTTAACTTTTGAAACATGATTGTTGATAAAGTTTAGCAACTACTATGATTATATAATAGTTTTATTATTTTATATGCGCGTATTTTATGTAGTGGGACCTTGTTTTCTTATATATTTTTTGAATGGTTATGTTTTCCAAAATTATTATTTGTTTTAGCTGTAGTCGGCTCTAAAAATTATTTTAAAAGAACTGTTTCATTCTTTTAAAACCCTTATGTTATTTGGCCATTCACCATATTTTTAAAACAATTTTAAAATTTTCTTCACGAGGATATCTCTTTATATTTTACTAATTGTATCTGTTTATCTTTAAAGTGTTTTAAGCAATACAAAGTTTTTGCTTTGTAGAAAATTGACAGAATACCTGCTTATCTTGAGAAAGATCATCATTCTATTGGATTTCGCAAATGTGCAAAAGCGTGGGGAAGCAAAATAATGCGTTTCTCGTCTTTGTATGACACTGATGAAAAGCCATTGTACATTGGATTTGACAAGCAAGGCCATTCTATTCCTCTTAATAAAGTTAATCCACATTCGCCAGATTTTCAGTCGTTATTTGAAATACAGTAAACTCAGCCATCGATTTTCTACTTTGCACACGTATACGCACAAATCGTTATAATTCTTTTTTATAATATGCACATAATTAACATATTTAATGATCGATGAATTTCGTTGTTCTTTATAATTTTTAATTGTATTTTATTCACATTTGAATACAATTTTAGAGTCAAAAACTGTTTCCATATCAATTAATTTCTGTGTTCGCTAATAAACGAAGTTAAAATTTGAGCCAATAGATACTAAAAAGAAAAATAATTTATATCTCGTTGTATAAACCTTATGTAGTTTTAAAATACATATGTAGCCGTACAATTAGCATTTTGTTTTGATTTCTAGTTTATGTTTTTCTGTTTACAGTTTTTTTTATAAATGAACAGAAATAAATAAAAGGCGCAATGCTATTGACTGAAATTTTAACATCTGAAAGTGAAACTGTCATGTTCACATGATATATTCCCTAATATAGCAAAATAGCATAGTTTTTGTGAAAAATATCAATATTAGATAGCTTAGAATCTCTTTTTTGCGCTTTCCACCAACTTTTCGGGCACTCAAATATCTACTGTTCCTACGACATTTTAACGTAGTAGACAGATTCCCATTCTCATTAGGTAATTACTTCTAAGGTTGCTCAAAAGACCAGGGGACAGGGGCTTTTTTGGAAAGAAATCTTTGGTAAAGACGATATTATAAATGCCTCTTAACCATTCGATGAAAGGCAATCTGCTCAGCGAAGTATTATTGCATAGTAGTAGACGATATGAAACATATTTGCTACTTGTTGGAAGCTATTACCAGTTGTTTTGCAAAGGATGACTCGTTAACGGTTTGAAAAGCAGACAAGCTATGTATACTGCACAGGAGTTGAAGCATACCTCATCAACCGTTTATGTTTAATGATACAGTCAAACTTTAGAAATGATAAATTACGTTCAGTGGATAATTTTTCTTATAGAAATGTATTTCAACAATTTGTTTGTAAACATAGTTTTTATTATTAATCTGGTAAATCATGCCGGCGTTGTTTAAAATTTTCTAATCTTTTTTTGTGTTTTCACAACTTCATTTTATATACTTCCAAAATATATAGCGACAAGCATGCAACAACCAAAATGAGAAAATAATTGGCAAATACGCTCTACTTTTAAGTATGATTTTATTATTTGAATTAGTCATTAAATAAAGTTGTGATTTCGCCCGTAAATCTTATGTTATTTTTATTTCTCATATTGTTATTATAGCTTTTAACTCAGTCGTATTTAGACGTGTTTAATCAAATGCAATGATTTAAGACACTCAAGATTTCAAAGTTTTTTTATAATTTACGGAACAATAAATTATTGTAAGGTGATTTGAGTTAACAATTTAATACTTTTAATAAGATAATCTGATCGCAAGGGCGGATCCAAGCTGGTGCAACTGATGCGAGTGCATCAGTCATAAAATTGAATAGTTAATATTTCGCAACATTATAACTTACAATCAATACGAGCAAAATGCAAGAAATATATCATATTAGAACGTTTATAGCTTGTAAATGCTTTAAATACTTTAACGCTGACAATATATTGACAGCAGATGTACATTGATGATTGAGAAATATTGTTTAAAGCCTTTGTAGATTGTTTACATGTGAGTATCATTTTGATTATGGCCGCATTATTGAAAAATGGGACGCTAAATATGGCGTTTTTATGTGTCGAAATTTTTATCGAAACTTTGTTTCATCTTCCAGCTACACTGAGCTGAATTTGTATTACTACGTCACGGTGGGTAGATAGTGATGACTACGTCACGGTGGGGGAAAAGTTCATCAGTTGGTGCAACAGTCCTGAGTCTCTTTGGCCGAGTGAACCACCTAAACTTCACGAATTTCATAGTTTTTTGGCTACGTCACGATGGGAAATCACTCCTGACTGTTGCACTTAGCCCACGAGCACTAAAATTTCATTCTAACTAATGCACTTGAGCCAGCGTTATAAATCTTCAAACCTTCAAAATTATAATTACATGACTATGGCATTTGGCTTATTCATATCATAGAATAGAGAATATATAGAAGTGCAACTCGCAGTGAAACGCGTGGCATATTTTCTGTGCGCATGCGTTAGGTCCGCCATTACTCTGGCCAGTAACTTAACGCTGGCGTACTATAAAATAATATTAGAAAAGTGCGATTTCGGGATAATAATCGCCTAAAACGCAAACTGTTTTGGAAGATCATGGAATTTTGTGACAAAACGTGAAAGAAAAAAGGTGAGAGACCATTATTTAATTGCTGGAAAGTCCGTAAAGATTTTTTATTGGTAAAAATTACATGTTTCGATGTAGGGTGTAAGACTGATAGGTGTAGGTTATTTTACTGCTATAGAGTTGTAAGACTGATATCTTGGCTAATGCAATAATCATATATTCACGTTGTAATCCTTTGAAAACAAATGATTTTAAAAAAACTTAACTCGGCAATTCATAAATATACGAATATTGATCTCCCCAAATTGTCAATCTTCACACGCCGATGTGTGTGGTAAAGAGGTGGAGTCTGTTGAATATTTGGCGAGTGGTTCTATTGTCTTGGCGAAAAGAATGTATAAGAAACGGCATGATGGCGTGAGCTTAAAGGGTTTATTGGGAGCTGGATAGAAGATATCGAATGGAGTTTGGTAATGTTTGGTGGAAGATGTTCAAAATAAAGTGAGGATATAAAAGAAAGGTAAGGTGAAATTATGGTGGGATAGAAATGTCAAAACAACACAGAAAAATGGAACATATGCTTCCATATGTTGCTGTGTTTGATGGAGTAGCTCAGGGATGGACTTTAGTGAGTTTTTCTGTTCCGTGGGATAAAAATAGTCGGTGCAAAAAAGGAGTAAATAATGTTTATCTATTCTCCTTTTGCAAAAGAAATTTTGAAAGGCAGTATTATTGAGTTTTATATTTTTAATAACTGGTATGTTTCGACCTACTAGCCATCTTCGGTGCGAATAAATACGTTCTTTACAATGTGAGTAAGATACATAATATAAAAATATGATAAGTGATGTCATCTAAGTGAAGCCTTAAGTGTTTCTTAAAACATTATGTAGCACTAGCAATGCTCCATTGTTTTCATTGGTAATTATAAGAAAATAAAAGTATCTAGTTAGACACACTAGAAAATTGTCAAGAATAGTTTTTTTCTATAAAATGTTTCTTTGTATGAATTTTTAATATGCTGTATATCAACTTTTTGGACTCTTAAATGATTTTTCTAAGACCCTCTTTACGGGCTTTTAAGTAAATTACAACTTCCTGTTCACAAGTTTCTATACACCACGCAAATTTTTAATTTTACAAATTTTAGGCTCCTGTTTCTGGCACTAATTTATGTGATGATGATTACCTATTATCATGCAGGTGTAAACAGCAGTTCACTGTTTTACGGGGCTCAATGATAAACGCAAAACAACGGCTTTTAGATTTATTTTGGGAATATTGTAATATAGATACAAAAACAAACGATGCATGTGTGTCATTGATTTTTTTGTTTGCTTACTCATCATCTGAATTTTTTGTATCTATACCCGTCTTTGTCTTTTAGATTATTACCATGCAATCTACCTTCACACAACTCTTTCTCTTAAATCATACACTCACTCAATTCGTTCCTTTTTTGCTCTGAACAATTTCCCTACAGATTCTTTTTGAGTCTTCTGATCCATGAAGCTTTTTATTTTGACAATTTGACTGGAATCGTATTAAACCTGAGTATTTCACATACATGAAATGTTGTCCCATGTCACATATTGTCCCCTTTCCTAACTGAACACCTCATGTAGAGATGTAAAGGTGTGTTAATCTACGGCTCATACCAGATTGTTTGCCATAAATTCCAAAGGGCTATTGATGTATGAAAAGCATTTTCTATAAAGTAAAAATGTCTTTCTATGTATGCAGGTAAACCTTGAAATTTGGCAAAACAGCAAAGTATTTTTCATGATCACTAGGTAATTTCTTTGATAATCATTATAATTTCTAAACTAAATTATTTCAGATTTACATTTATACGAGCTTTGATCATATGAAAATATATTTATCATAACCAGTAAGCATGACACATGAATCAATTTTAACATTCATATAATTATATAATTAAAGACATGTTGATTACATTCTGTTTGTATTTGCAAATACGATGCTACTAGTGATTGCTATATAGCACACCTTGCATATATTTACAGAGGACAATAGTCTAGTGAAATGCCTAATAAACATTTATGGCATTAAGCTGTCCTTAACTGCAAATTTTAAGTTTTGGCAGAAAACAATTTTGAGTTTTTTCTCAAAAAGTGAATTTGCTGGCATTGATGTCGAGATGGGTAAAGGGTTACAATAAACTTGCATGGTTTGAAGTCTGAGCTTTTCTATATCCATGAACTGTCACTTGTAGTACCAAATTTCTAACTTAACTCATTACATAGAGGTTTGAATGGGGGTCTCTTGGAGGGTCTATGCCTGACATCTTGGTAGAAATTTTTAAAGACTATATCTGTTTTTGAATAGCATTATTGTAAAATAAATTTTACGTCCCTAAACATGCTAATATCGGACCAAATTTTTTTCTTAAAGATCATTATTTGCTACAAGACGACAAAATTATTTAGTATGGTGTAACGTATCAGCTGAGCTTTATAAGTTTTCATCACTTGCTTCGGTGAGCTGATTTCAGAAAAAATCGCCCCATTTTCTATAATTTACCACAAATTGTTAATTACGATGTTTGATTTTTAACTGTTTTTAATTTGCTATAGATACCGGACAATAAAAATTACAGTGCTTAAATTGACAAATAATTCAATGTTCTAGCTTAAACCAATTTCAAAGTATATAGTTTATTAAATGGACAGTGTGAACAAAGTTATAAGCAGTAAAAGAATATGACTAGTGCATTTCCATGCATCGGTTCCACTATGCATTATATGTGTGCCAGTAAACACAAAAATTATGAATTCCTTTGGTGTTTACTCTCTTCTTGTCTTCTGCAGTTATATCTATTAAAGTTCTTGACTGAAAACATTTTTAGGGACAAAAGAGGGATAGAAATTTTCCAATCTTTAATATAAATAGAAAATAATTTCTGAAAATGGAACCAAACAGTGATGGGGGATTTACGGTGACGGCTACAGGGACAGGAAACGATCCTTATGGTAACTATGTTTTAGTTACGGTTTAAATGTTAAATTTTTAAAGTAACTCGTTTCTTACGGTTTCTAGTTACAAATCAAATCACCAATGACAAATAAGTCAATTTTCTCTGCTGTTGCATTTATCAA